CTGCCGGCCGCCATCTTGATTGGGTTTATTTGCATATAGTCGCTCTGATTGACCTGTGGGTGTGGCTTAAGGTATAGTGAAGGTATGGTCAAATTTACATGTTTGTCTTTTATTAGTGTAGATTCCCTATTTTAAATGGGGGCTCGTTTTTAAAAAATGACACTGTTTGGGGCAAACAAACACACCTGCAGAGTAAATGAGGCCTCTGGGCTGCCAGCTTGTAACCTCAGGCCTGGAAATGGAGTCTAGAATCTTCCCAGGGAGTCAAAAGCCCACTTTCAGGATGAGTCACATCACCGACCCAAAAAGCACGGTCGTCATGGCCACTGTCACTAAAGTCGGTACCTTGACAGCGACTTCAGCTCCTTTTCAATGATAACAAGGACTCGGAAACAGCGGTGGCCACTGAGGGTGTGGATGGTTTGGGCGGAGCCAGGAAGACATGGGGTTAGAGAGGACTATGGGGAGGGAGCGTGATTATTTCCACCAAGAACTCAGGGATCTTGTACTGTGATAACCAGGCCACTGCCCTCGCGTCAAGTCCAAACTCTGACCTCGAACCCCAAGCACCTCCAGGAGTCACCCGTCTAGCTCTGCAGCTTCCTTGCGTGATAGCGCCTGGCCTGGCGGGCTTGAGCAGCTCTGAAATGCTCGTGTTCAGGCTCACACCTTTCCCAGGTCCTGATGTCCTGGTGACAGTGATAAGGAGGCAGGCAACCTGCACTCACACACACTGCAGGCCAGCACTGTGCTCTAGGCATTTTCCTTAAATGGACTCAACTGTTCCTCACAACAACCTATGTAGTAGCTTCCCTATTATTCCCATTTCACAGATGAGGAAACCAAGGCACAGAGAGTGTATGCACTTGCCTAACTGCAACCGAGAATAGTTCCACCTGCATCCTCACCCCCAACCCTGACACCCCCCTCCTGTAGGACGCCCCCTCCTGTAGGATGCCCCCTCCTGTAAGACGCCCCCCTCCTGTAGGACGCCCCCTCCTGTAGGACGCCCCCCTCACTGGCATGCCCTCTTTCCTGCAACAGGGCTCCCACAGCTCCCTGGACTTCCTCCTGCCACTGATGTGCTGCGCCCCGTCCTTGCCTGGCTCTTGTGCCCGCTGCACCGTGAGTTTCCCGAGGCCAGAAGAGAGCTAGCTGCCCTCTGTCCTGAGGCCAGCGCAAGGCCACCACGCCAGGCCTCACTAAGAAGGTGAGAAAAGGGCTGATCACCCCGGGGCCACTGTGGAAAAGCAACCCGGCAGAGAGACTTGCCCCGGAGTGTCCATCCCCCTAGTGTAGTGATTCTCAACTTTTACCGATGCCGCGACCCTTTAATACATTCCCTCATGTTGTGGTGACCCCCAATTTCATTGTTACAAATTGAACATAATTAAAGCATAGTGATTAATCACAAAAACAATATGTAATTATATATGTGTTTTCCGATGGTCTTAGGCGACCCCTGTGAAAGGGTTGTTCGACCCCCAAAGGGGTCACGACCCACAGGTTGAGAACCGCTGCTCTAGTGGTTTCTGGGACTCATTCAGCTCTGGGCACTGGGAGGGCGGCCACTTGCTGCCGGAGGCGGGCAGGCCTGGCCTCAGTGAGGATCCCACCCCGCCCTAGGGTCTGGGCTCGGCCCCTGGCTCTGGGCACTGCAGCCCACTGAGCAAGTGGGGCCGAGGGCGCAGAGAACCACGCTGTCTGTACTTGGCATGAAAGCACATGCCATGCCCATGACCAATAGCTACCTCTTGACTCACACAAGCCTGGGGTGACCAGGAAGCCCCCTGAGCTGACTTGAAGCGCTGCTGCTTCCTTCTGGAGCTTTCTCCGGGCCCCGGGGTGGTGGCAGAAATGCCCTCCTTTGCACTGACCTTGAGTGAAGTGACCTTTGGAGCTGCAAAGCTGAGCGCCCCCCTCTGTGCCCTGCCTTTCATCCCACTGCCTTTGATCCTCGCTTTAGAAGCCTCTTGGCAGGAGATAAAATATTTGTTGGCTGGAAAATACACGCACTAACATTTGCAGGGGATGGAGTAGGTGGGTTGTAACCAAATGCGCTTTTAATTTGGCTGGGAAGTGACCTCGGCAGGAGGCGCCAGCTGATTTGAATTTCTACACCAGCTACAAACCATGAACCCGCTGGGGTCCCAAGATGAGCAAGGGCTCACTGATACCTCTGTGCCCCGAGCTCCAGCAGCCAGGGCTCGGACTCATGTGCACCTCATGAATGTGCATGCATGTGATCATGCCCCCTTACCCCTCGTGCACACACAGCACACGTGTGCACCAGTAAAGATCCCCCCCGAGTGCATAATGCACACAGATATGAGCAGTGCACGCTCAGTGTGTACAATTCACATACAATGGCAGACAGCGCACCTTTGTGCACACAGTCATGCTCACATAAGCACAGGCACACGTATTGCATTCGTATGAACACAAATACATACCACACACACGATGTACCCATATTGCGTACATTTATACACACAGTTCACACAAATGTTTGCATGATGGGAAAACCTATAGACATTTACAAACAACATGTGTGCTACACATGGACACACTGGATACACATAAATACAGAACACAGGCACAGGAGCGCCGCGTTCACACACAAGGGGTGTGCTGGGCACATGGGTGCACACCCTCCACTTGCATGCACACACACACCGATCGTACAGACCACTGTGTGCGCTTACGCCCTCCCAAGCCCACAGAGCGAGGGCACACTCAGCTCTGTCCTCCCTCTCCCGGCCCCCACCCTCTCCTGGCCCCTCCCTGTTCCCGGTCATTGGGCAACTCCCCAGGCTTCCCCGAGATCTCCACTCACTGCTTTTTGTGCCTCTTCTCTTCCCTTCTCTTGCTCTTTGGGCTGGAGGAGCTAAACGAGAAGTGAATGGCCAGTTAATTGAAAGATGCAAAACCCCAGGTAAAGGTAAACATAAACAGCAGTTAAAGTGCGTCACACACAGGGGCCACGGGAACCAGGCTGTCGGGCCGGCACCGCGTCTCCCAGACCGGAGCAGTGGACGCAGACTCTTTCCCCGCAGGTCCAGCTAGAGACACCGGCCCACACTGGCGGGAGGTGTGGGCCGGCTTTGGCAGCTTAATGCTAATAAAAGTAACGATACTACCGCCATTGTTGGAGGCTTTAGTACAGAGTGGACATTCTGCTAAATACTCTGTCAATAACCTCATTTTACCCTCCCCGCACCTATGGGTAGAGGGACAAGTTGACTAAGGACCCATTTTACAGATGTGGACACTGAGCCTCGGAGGAGCCACAATCACACAGGTGAGCGGGGACGTGGCCGCACCGGGCCCCCGGAGCCCACGCTCTTGGCGCCGTGCCATCTGTATCCGAGAGAGGAGAACGAATGTTCAAGGAGACACCGAAGCCCCAGCAAGCTTGGCAGTTGCTGGAATGTTCTGCCCATGAACCTTCAAGCATTTGGGTTTTAGTGTCTTATTTTCTAAGTCAGAGGCTTGGGCTATGGACAGAATGGACAACGATGACCCGAGGTCCCGGCGTAAAGAAACAGAGGCCCCGGAGGGTGAGCGCGATTTGGCCTTCAAGGCCGTGGGTTTCAGGCATCAATAAGAAGCATGACTGGCCAGGCCCTGGGACGGGAGGGCTGGCTCTGCACTGACATCGGACCTTGCCGTGGGCCGCGGATCTGTCTTCATGCTTGAGACTCAGTCGGCGGGTGTGGGGGGGCAGGGCCTCCCTGAAAGACCCAAGTTCAAGTTCCGGCCCCACGGCAGGTGCTGTGCAACATCAGCAAGTGGCCTGTCTATTGGAGACCCTTCCTTGGCTGTGACAGTGAGCGGGGCCCAGGCTGCGGGGCTGAGTGAATGGAGGGCGCCGGTACCACGCCTACTTGTTCCTGAATGAACGGAAGGGCTCTGCACGCCGCCAGCCACTCGCCATGTGGCTGCGCTACTGAGGGAGCCGCGGCCGCTGTCCTGACGCTGCCGGAGACCTGGGTTTACAGTTTGGCTCTGCCACCTTCTGACTGTGTCTGTCTGAGCCTCAGTTTCTTCATCTGTAACATGGGACTGCACCGCACAGGCTGTGATGAGGGTGAGTGGGGATTAAATACACACACTCATGGGAAGGGCTTAGGCGGGCTCCCATGTATGGGGAGCACCCTAGCTGTGTTGGTGTCCCCCAGTCTCCAGTACAGTGGGGTTGCCTCCGTCGCTCAGCTGGGGTCTGGGAAGGCTGGGGTGGGGAGCTGATGTTTCTCTCCATGCCCCACCCCAGGCCTCCGTCAGTGCTCAGATGAGGCTCTGGCAAGTGGGGGAAGCCCCGGAGGGGCACCTGCCGGCGGGTCGGGAGCAGCCCGCTTGCCTGATGGAAGCTGGAAGCTGACTCGGAACTTTCCGGGAGACAGGCCAGGCCATTACTTGGGGGGAAAGTGACACAGGAAGAGGAAGAGGGTGAGCCCAGAGGCTCTAGGCTAGTGGTTCTCAACCTTCTGGCCCTTTAAATACAGTTCCTCATGTTGTGACCCAACCATAAAAATATTTTCGTTGCTACTTCATAACTGTAATGTTGCTACTGTATGAATCATAATGCAAATATCTGATATGCAGGATGGTCTTAGGCGA